CTCACGAAATTAAAGCAGTGTCAAAGACAGTCAGCTAGCATGATTCTGCTCCATGGGGCAGGTTCAGCTAGTCATTGTAAATGGAGGAAGCTCTATAACATAAGGACTTATGTACATAAATTCAGGTTTGAGTTGCATGAGAAATCCTTTAACAGCTTCACAAGATGCCTAGGAAAATGCTGTTGCATTGACAGGACATAAAAGGAAAAAACATGATTACAGGGCATCCAGGCCTCTGTTGCCAGTGTTAAGTTTGTTTAGCTAAACTATTTAAACTCTAGCTTGTAAAAATACACAAAAAGACAGATACAATGTCTTTTATTTAAACAAAAAAAAAAGCTGGTAAAGGAGGTTGTAAATAAAAGTGTAATGCGCCACTAAATAAAACTACTCATCCCCAGTAAATACTTATTAAATAATTTAGAACACCATCTACAGTACCACAAAACCATCAAAATAATTCAATTTTATCAGGGATTGGGAAGAAAATACGGTGATTATGGATACGCTTTAACCAGTTACAGAGGGACCCAAGTGAGGAGAGCAGAGTGAGGAAGGGCCTCGAGGTGTCTTCACCCCTGTTCCCACTGCTGTGGCAGCCCCAGGCCCTAGCAGAGATGGGAGGATTTGTGCTTAAGGTTATGTTACCTACTTCTCTTTAAATGGCTAAAGGGCACAAAGTGCAAACATAGCGTTGTGCATTTTGAGAAGAACATCTTTGAAGAACAAAGCTGTACAAGCAGCGTTAGCATCAGTGTGTGCCTGTGCTGTGTACTTACTGAATTGTCCTGCCTGGAAAGTGCTCTTCTCCAGCCACAGACCATGAAGAGATCCGCAAGCAGAGGGAGCAGAGGGCCCGCTGTCCTGTGGGGGTGATGCCTGAAGTGTCCTGGCACTCCTACTCCAGCAAGAAATTCATCAGTGCCAGGAAGATGCTCGCTTGGGACCAGCCATGGGGTGACTTGTAGCATTTCCATAATCAAGACTATGATTTGTATCAGGAGAATAAGCACCTGGCACCAGGCTATTTTTTTTTAATTGGATGATGGACTTCCATGAGCTTTCAGTAACCAGGTGTTGATGAGATGCTCTTTCTCTGGGTGTTTTGTTTGGCTTCACTAGCCTTGAAGGTCAGCTCTTCCAGCCAGCAAAGAGCAGCCACAACTTTGGATGGCCTCTGTGCCTGGGCCCTCTCTGAGCCACCCCCACCGGCTCAGCCTGTCTGCCCATGGTGACTCCTCCTTTGCCTGGCCACTGGAGCTAAATGTTCCTTATCGTGCCTGCATTCTCCTGAGCCCGATCCCTGTGCCCACAGGAGGGAGGAGTGACTCGAGTCTGTCCTTTAGCCCCACGGTGGCTGAGCTGTCCCAGCCCCACAGCCAATTTACCACAGAAAAAGCAGTTTCCACCTTTACTCTTGTTCCAAACCTTATGTAATCGTGGTGATACAAGCAGAACCCTGGCTTCTTGTTTGAAGGGGAACGTAGTGTTATTCAAACATTAGGAAAGCCTTTACTTTCCTCACAAAGAATACAAGCCAGGCCTCTTACTGCTTTGTTTGTTGCTTCTCCAAGAGAACCAGGTTTTTGAAAGTATGCCTTAATCATGTCCCGGTACTAAAACCTGCAGTAGAGCCTTACCCATCTCACATCATCCCATCCCATCCCATCCCATCCCCTGCATGGGACTGTTGCAGGAGCCAGGCTTTCTGCGCTGTTTGGTGGGACAGCATTTCGTGCCCCGTTCAGTTTTAGAGCCCAGGTTTGTTATTTTTCAGGTTTGCTTATCAGTCTCTTGCAGGGCAGGGATGGAGGAGAGCCCCCGCTGAAGGCAGGCATTTCCTACGCCTGCTGCCGGGGAGGTGGGAGAGAGTGGGATGTTCACACACACCCCCTGCCCTCTGCCTGGGCAATAAGAGCAGTGCCAGGATGGACCCTTCCCTCCTGTGGCCTTACCTCCATGGGGAGGGACAGAGATCATAGATTCATAGAATCTGTGGATTGGGTTGGAAGGGACCTTAAAGATCATCTAGTTCCAACCCCCCTACCATGAACAAGGACACCTTCCACGAGACCAGGTTGCTCAATGTCACATCCAACCTGGCCTTGAACACCTCCAGGGATGGGGCATCCACAACTTCCCTGGGCAACCTGTTCCAGTGCCTCACCACCCCCAGAATGAAAAATTTCTTCCTGATGTCTAATCTAAATCTACCCTCTTCCAGTTTAAAACTGTTACCCCTTGTCCTATCACTATGTTCCCTGATAGAGTCCCTCCCCACCTTTCCTGTAGGCCCCTTTAGGTACTGGAAGGCTGCTATAAGGCCTCTCCGGAGCCTTCTTTTCTCCAGGCTGAACAACTCCAAGAGAAGACTCCAGGAGCACTTGTGCCCAGTGTTTCTGTCATGACATGGCCCTGTGGGTGGGATGCTGGCACCAGGGATTGCAGAGGGGAGCAATGCCGGGGCTTTCTCATGCCTCCCCATGTCAGTTTCCCTCTCAAGGCAGGTGGTGTTTCTTAAAGAGCCACAAACCCCATCGTGCTTTTCCATAACTAGAGGTTTTGTCTGTGCATTTGGGTAGAGAGGGGAGACTTGCCTGACCCAGGCTCAGCTGCAGCTTTTGGTTGCATTTCTTCAAACACCGCAGGCATCAGGGTGGAGTGTGTTACTTAAAAACGTGGTTTTAAATTTAAAAGCAGCTTTAGCCTGTGGTCTGAGTGGCAGCCCTCCCTCATGCTGAAAGGTCATTTAACACTAGAACAATTGCGTCGGGGGCTGCTTCTGAAGCGAGAGTAAAGTGATGCTATGGTGGGGGGACGACACCAAGATGGAGCCCTTGAAATCCCTTGCTGAGTCTCCCACAGCCCTTCCTGCTCGTCTGAGTGGCCCGGGGCTGTGTGGCACTGGCTCAGGTCCCCTCACAGGGCACGCTCTGTATCTGCTGCAGCACCCCAATGGCAGAGATTTAACCTTGCGGACAGTCTGTCCCTCATGGCTCTTGTTCCAAAAGCAAGTTGCTGTTGGGAGAGGAGCACCAAGAGAGCTTTTGTGGCCTGCTCAGATGGGAGGGCAAAGGTTTCCTTATTCTGAGGTCATCATGGAAGGATGATGTCATCAGCACAGGCTTCCACAGCTGGAAAACTAGAAGAGCTGTTAATGGAGTGCTTTGGCCCCTCCAGCTGCCTATGGACATGGGGTTTCTAATGTTTCTCAAAGGCTAACTTCTTAAAATCAAGCTGACAGTCACTAGAAGTACACTTTTAGGGTGGGGTTTTTTTTTCCAGTAAAACTGAAAGATTAAAATTTATGAAGGTGATCAGCTGAAAAGTAACCTACTTCAGCACTTTTTTACGACTTGCAGACATGGCTTAAAGGCTGACTCAGAAAGATGGCAGAAAGTCACCTTGGGGTCTGCAAGGAGAGACAGAATCGAGATTTTCCAGGCTACCAGGTATATGCTGCAAAGGCCATCACGGGTCAACATTAAACAAGAAGCCGTTTCTGAGGGGTTGCTGCTACTTCAAGACATTTCTCAGTCAACATCCCCAGAACATAAGGAAGAAGCAGTATAGATTAGCTCGTGACACAGTCAGGGAGGAGTGTCATGACCTACAGGGTTACCTGGTCTGCAGGTAAAAGGCGAGTCCTCAGAGACCACTTAGGAAGTTGAACATCTGTGGAGGACAGAATGAGGGAGAAAAAGATGACTCTAAGGAGCTGATTGCTCTGGATGTGCTACATATAGGTTATGCCGCAGGCTCGGACCGGGAAGGAGCGTAGTCTAGCTCTGAACAGATTCCTGTTTGTACTTGGTTTAATACTGCAGTATTAGTATATTATTAATAAATAATTACATGTCAGTATATTTAGTATAAAAGCCTTTTTTTTTTTTCCTCACTTGAAGACAATCTCAGCAATATTAGCACCGACCGTTATACCTTTGAAGCTCAGTGCAAGCTGGAGAGGTGCTGGAGGCGGCCTGTCTCTCTGAGGGATGCATTGCAGGTTCCCACACCACGCTCACCTGTGCTCTCCGGAAGCACGGGGCGAGGGTGGCATCCCTGCGTGTGTGCCGTGGTGCGGCCGTTTCACCGGAGGAGCCTTTGTGTGGGGAGCCATGGGGCAGAGCCAGCGGTCTGGGCCATGGAGACGGTCCTTCCTTTAAACCTCTTAATGCGCACAGAAGCCATAAGACTCCTGGAAGGGCAAAGCAGCTTAAAGAAAGCAATTGCAGGGGTGAGAGCATCCTCAAAAACTGGGGAACTTCCTGAGGAATTTCTCTGCCCTCAACTCCAGAGTGATGGGGGTAAAAGCCATCCTGAGCGGCCTCTGCTCAGCTGGTCACCCCGACTATCATTGGTTCTCATTCAGTGTTTTTTACTAAACTTTGCAAGTCTCTCTGACATAAAAAATAATTGACCTTTACAGTTGCGTTTGAGCTGGCTACATTGCCATCAGCTCTTGCTAGTCCTCACTACTCAGATCATATTTGCTTAATGGCATATGAATTAATTTTTTGGAAGCTGACACTTCACCACAGGATTAGTTAGTGACTCTACCGTGGGGCTGGTGCATGAAATTTAAGCAGCAGAGCATCTTTTGGGAAAAAAAAAAAAAAGGGAGGAAAATTCCAGTGCTCTTGGAAATCTTCACTTTTAGGATGCTCTGACTGGAGTAATGAATGAGCTGAAGTACAAGAAGAAAAATAAACTCAATTCCAGCTATTTAAAGGCTCAGCAATTCCTTCCAGGCGAAAAACAAGCAGCTATTGTGTGCCTGCGCTGGGAGGGCTGGGGGGAGGCAGCGTTTCCCACAGTCAAATTAGGAATGGGAAAAGCAGAACAAAACCCGCAAGCCTCAGAAGCCCGAGTAGGGAACACAAGCCCATTTTCTGTTCGACATGATTTGTGCTGTCATTAGGTGGGCTTAATGGGGCATTATTCTTATTCTGGGAGGAAAGCCTGGCTTTGCTTGAGCTAACAGTAATGACTGTTCAGACCTGGGAGACGTGAGGGAGCCAGCCGAAACTGCATTCGCTGTGTCACGCAGGAGCTCGCTGGGAACAGAGGACCTTCTCCTCCCCGCTGCCCCTCGCCAGCGGAGGCTGGCCATGTTTCGCCATAAAAACTTGCCTGTTTGGCATGGGGGGGGTCTGATTCATGTCATTTATCTCACTGTAAAGGAAGACTCGTGTCGGCCACCATCGGCCATGCTGGGACCAGACCCGAATCCCAAAAAAGGTGTGGGTGTACCCCTCCTGCTGCTGCCCCGCAGTCGCCTGGCGCAGAAGGTGAGGCCGGCATCACGGCTGCAGGAAAGGCTTTTCTCATCTGAGATGTCTTGAACCCCTTCCTAACCCACCTCCCAACCTATGGCGAATCCCAGCAGGAACGGTTCAGAAACATAGTTGTGGCTTCTTGAAGTCCAGTATTTGGGCACCTTGCTTCAGGCTGTGTAAAGGTAAAAGGGGATAAAGAGGTTTTAAAAAAAGGTTCCCTGAAAGGAAATCTTAAGAGTTGAAACCTGTGAGCTTAGTTTGAACAGTCCCCGTGCGGCACACGTGAAGCCCCTCTCTTTCAGCTTCGTTGGCTTCATTCAGAAGACACTACCAGTGATCCCTCTCCTTTCACACAACCGCATGGGCCAGAAGCAGCACCGCAGGTCATCAGCAAGCACAAGCACGCCTTCTGCTTTGGGGACTGCAGGATTGACACACCACTTTGCAAAAAGTATGAGGACGGCTGCCACCCATCTTCCACCTGCGGAAGGAGCGGTGTTACCTCAGCTCTGCTTGTCCTGGGCTGCTGCTCAGCCATGGACAGGGATGGAGAGCCAGTCTAGTGCGAGTAACGTCCCTCTCTAAGAAGACCTGGAGATACACGTAGCCCTCTATCATCCCCCAAGCAAGCTAAAACTGCGCCAGTGCAGGAATCTTGCATTTCTTTATGGCTAGAGTCTGGTTTAGTTTGAGATACGC